AGGAATATAAACCTTCAAGGCAGGGGCCTTAATATGTCTTTTTTACCACTTTACTAACTGTATCTAAAGCAGTACCTGTAGGGCCTAAACAAATATCTTCACTATAGCACAGAAAACATTAGAAAGTGAAAAAGAAAATAGAATAAGATGACTAATTGGGCCCTACTTATTTAACTTGGTTGGTAATATGAATATAGGGAATATAAGACAGTTGGAAGTTTAAATGCATGGAAAAAGATAGATTAGTAAGTGTTGCCCTAATGGCCAGATTACATTAATGCATTTTGTTAAGAACCATTTTCTGGTAGAAATTTCCTTATGGTCAGGTAATCTTTCTCCATTCAACTTTCTCTTTACTTTTCAAAACAAAATATAATTAGGAAAGGAAAGATAACTGATGAACAATTTACTAATATTTTAAAGTTAAGTTTTAGATTAATTTCATTCCAGTTTAAACTAGAAAATTCTTAACATCTCTTTCAATTTGCAGAAAATTGGCCACAGAAAATTTTTTATAATATCCTCGGTCAAAAGACAAATTTCTTTCATTAAGAAATTTAAAAATGCATTATCAAACTTTAAATTCTTAGGTCCTTGACAGTCTAGAAAAACTAGAACTATGTGTATATATTAAATAAAACAAAACTGTTTGAGAGGATACATACACTTCAAGCATTGTGAAATTAAAACTAAATAGTTCATACATGTAATTAACCAAGTATACCCCTTATTACTGTTCCCCTGTATCACCTGAGTGATATTAGGCATGTTGTTGACTTTTTTATTGTATGTATACTAGAGGCCTGGTGCACAAATTTGTGCACAGGTGGGGTCCCTCGGCCTGTCTGGCGATAGGGCCTATTGGGGCTGTCTCACTCGGTCCAAGAGAGAGGTACCGCGGGAGGTTGGCTGTGGGAACACACTGATCACCAGGGGGCAGCTCCTGCATTGAGTGTCTGCCCCCTGTGGTTAGTGCATTTCATAGTGACCGGTTGACTGGTCATTCAGTTGACCAGCCGTAATGGTCGCTTAGGTTTATATATATATATACACACTAGAGGCCGGTGCACGAAATTCGTGCACTGGTAGGGTTCCTAGGCCTAGCCTGTGATCAGGGCCATCTTCTGCGCGTTTGCCAGTCAACTGGCCTCCACTGCATGTTGTACTCTCCCTTGAGCTATGGCCAGGATGGGGGTGCTGCTTGCAAGCCGGGCTTTCCTGCTCCCGGATTGCCATGGCGACCGGGGAGCAGGCCCAGCTAGGGGCTGCCCACAGGCCGGGCTTTCCCGCTCCCAGGTCTCCATGGCAACTGGGAAGCAGGCCCAGCTTGGAGCTGCCCGCAGACTGGGCTTGCTCTCCTGCTCCCAGATCCCCATGTGACCGGGGAGCAGGCTCAGCTGGGGCTGTCCACAGGCCGGGCTTTCCTACTCTCGTATCAGGACCAGCTTGGGACTGCCTGTAGGCCAGGCTTGCTTTCCTGCTCCCAGAACACCATGGCAACCAGGGAGCAGGGAAAGTTTGGGGCTGCCTGCAGGCCAGGTTTGCTTTCCTGCTCCCAGATCCTCATGGCAACCGGGGAGAAGGTGCAGCTGGGGGCTGCCCGCAGGCTGGGCTTGCTTTCCTGCTCCCAGATCAGGCCCAGATGGGGGCTGCCCTCAGGCTGGGCTTGCTTTCCTGCTCGCGGATCAGGCGCAGCTAGGGGCTGCCTACAGGCCACATTTTTCTACTTACTGATGGCCGGATCATCACAGCGACCCAGGGCCCAGCGGCACTTTCCTGCTCTCCAATAGTCATAGGGTCCCGGCTGGGGGCGGGGCTTAGCAGTGCTGGGCTTAGGCGGCATGGGGGTCCTGGCTGGGGGCTCAGGTGGCACAGAGGGGTCCCGGCTGGGGGTGGGGCTTATGCCCCGCTGCCCAGGGCTGCACATGGGGCCTGGATAGCAGCTCGTGCTGTCCTGTCCTGCCCTGCCTGTAGTATAGGATAGAGGCCTGGTGCACGGGTGGGGACCGGCTGGTTTGCCCTGCAAGTGTCCTGGATCAGGGTGGGGGTCCCGCTTGGGTGC